CATGGATGGATTTGTCAAATTGGTACATACATAAACATAATAGGACCTTGATGCACGTCTTTTTTTTCGGATCAAGTTCGAAATGGCCGACTGGCGGCCATTTTGTTAAAGAATTCAGTTCTGGATCCGTATCCAAGACATGTCTGGATTGATCAAGTTCAAACTTCACACACACATGGTACATCATGTCACAAATAGATATGTGCATTTGTTTCATGATCTGCTTAACAATAGCGGAATGATGGCCATTTTAAGGCCGAAAATGCATCAAAATCACGTATTTTCACAATTCCAGAATCGGATCTCAGTCATGCATGGATGGATTTTGTTCAGATTTAGCACAATGTGTTGTACATATGCAGGTGCATTTCGGTCATGATCTGCTTTGAATGTATATGTCACTCAAATATGAACGGAACGGGTACGTGTCATTGACAATGACTTGTTATATTTAAATTTTATATATTCGTTATACATCATGTTATATATATACATGTATTCAAAATGGCTGATTTTGAATGCTGTTCCAGAGCAATATCTCTCAATATGGACATGTACTTGTTTGACGATCAGATACAACTGTCAATCATTTTAATGTTAAAAAATCATATTCCTGACATGGTTATATTCCAGCTATATTACTATAAACAAAACTATATATCTTACATGTGATAACTAACGGGGACTGTGCCATGCATGGCTTGTGTATAAATGTCTTTGGTATTTGGTATCCAGTGAAGCATGTATTGACCATTGCTACTATGCAGAGAATGCTTGTAGCAAAAGTTCATCTAGATTTTATTAACCGTTTATGTGATTGTATTGGAAAATTAATATCTATAACATTTACCTTAAACATATAATAAAATGGTATATAATCAACCAAAACAAACATAATGTACTTAGGTATAATATTACTTAAACAAAATTTGCAGGTAATTGACAATATTTTAAAACAAAGTAGGTAATGATTGACAGTTGTTCAAATTTTACATCATCCAGGGCAAACTGATTGACAAAATCTGTGTTTTTACTGTAATGATGTCATTATTTTCAGAACTAGATTACCTTTGTCACTAATCCTGGGTGTGTGACTTCTTTCCTACAATTTTTAACCCATATATTGTGTACTCCATTTTTTTGTAGAACATTTTAGGCATTTATAAAATAGTGACCCAATATATTCGTAAGTTCCATAAAAATACGCAATATTTTGATATTACAGCTACTGTAATACTGGGTGTCAAACAGTCTATTGTGTAGGAATGATAAATGGATTTAAATTCAATCTAATTTACTTCATGCATTAGTTTAATTGGATGTTGCTATAGCAACATAGATGTCTACATGAATAAAGACAATAAATTGTTTAAAAAATTCTTTGTCCTTTTAGAAGAAATGTCAATTTGATTTTATAGTCTAATTTTATGTTGTTTGTCATATAAATCTATCCATGTTTTTTGAGAATATACTGGAAAATTGAATACATTGGGCTATATTAATTATTATTACATATATACTATAAAAACTAATTTTTGATAATTTTTGTTCTATTAGTAGCACATTCACTTATGTCAATGATAGAAGAGAGTCTGTGATCTGAATAAGTTGTATAATGAATTATCTCAACACAATAATTGTAATTGTTAGTTTATGAAGGCTTTTATTAGAACAAATACAATAATTTTTAAAATAGAATACAAAATTGTCGTGAAATCTTGATGGATTAACTACTCATTATAACATTTTTTGATTACAATTGTTTAAATTTAAATACTTTACACCCACTTTTATGATGGATTCATGGCAATTAAAGTAATCAAGTAATACGTGGGCTGTAATAAATACAGCAGCTAAAAGATTGGCAAAACATCTACCCTGTCGAAAGCCAAACATCACTGAAAAATCCTGTGGATTCGGTTGTGACAGCATTGTTGTTTGAATGAGTATTGTTCCAAAGTCTTATCTCTGACATTTCATGACTTAATACATAAATGTACATGTATGCACATTAATTTGTTTGATGATCTGATTCAAGATGGCCGACTGGTCTCCATTTTAATAGTAAAATGCAACAAAATCAAATTTGCATTTGGTAGTGCATTGTAAAATCATACATTGTTATTTAATTTCATGATTTGTTTTTCTTACAGATTGTGTATCGCTGGATATTCCTTTATCGCCCGTCCCCAATAGTTTGAATCATCTTGGTTCAAGCATTAGTTTGTCAGCTTCTCTCAGTGGTGTGGACCCAAATGGCTTGCTAGCGCCCTCATTGACCAATGGTCAGGTTTCACAAGGTCTCAGACAGAGAAGCAGGTATGTTTGTTAGCCTACTGTTTATTATTCTGATCAATAAGAAGGAATTTTCTCTGGAAAAATCATGCCACAAATTGTTGGGTTTTTATAAGAGCTTTTAAAGGGTGGTGATTGACATGCCATGTATTTGTCAGATGCTAGTTGATTTTGACCAGTTCACTCCATATTCACACTCCCTATACTTCATTTGTAAATATCATGAAATTAGTCCAAATCTTTTGGTATACTCCCTTTGGGTGGTTATTCCTTAATTATAACCATAAGGAAATTACAATTCTTTTTTAATTTTATAAAAATAAAGTTATGAAATAAAATAGAAGTTGAGTAGTTAAATCAGTGTTTGTCTCTTTTTGTTGTTTTTTTATCTCATGTACTGTAAAATAATTTTCGCTGAAAAGACTTTTTGGATTATATTCAGGGATTTTATTTTCACTGATTTTTGATGAGTTGAATGTAAAATATAGGAAAAAGGGTATATTTGCTGGATTTTATTTTCACTGAATCATTCCTTCAGCGAAAATAAAGTATACAACAGTAGAAATGGCATGGTGTTAAAAATCAACTTTTTAATTCTGTTTTTAGAAATTATTGTACTTTCTATTGCATTGTTCAAGTTGGTGTCTATCATTTGTATATGTTTGACAATTTCTGATTGATTTTGGTTATTTATCTACATGATACTGACAACCCTGCTTTCTGATCTTTGAACTCAAACTGCCCATCAACATAAAGCTGGTTACATTTTAAAAGGATACTTACATACCTGTACTTTGTAATGACTCAAAATGCCTTTAGTTTTCGCATGACTAGTTTAAGACATTATAAATATTTCACTTTTCAGATGCAACACTGCAAATGACAGCCTCTTACCTCCCAGTTTAGCTCACATGCTTGCCAACAAAAGACATAGTCTACCAGTACCTGGCAAAGTTGACTACTTAACACCTACTGCTCCGTTGTTGGCGCCAACACTGTCAAATGGGAAACTTTCAAATGGCAATGTCAAACATGACAACAGTAGGTCCAAATCACAACCTAGTTCCCCTATCAGATCAAAATCACCATGGGAACGATTATTTGGTAGCAAAAAGGACCGACAACCTTCGGTTATAAGCAGTGTTAGTGGACTAAGTGACTTTAGCGGAAGTGCTGCAAGGTAAGTTACTTTTAAAGTATCTTCAACACTTACCCCACAATCACAACTTTATTCACAACAGCGCCATCTTGTGGTGGTAAAGAGAAAAGCACCAATTCAGATTGGTTGTATACATGTAACATTGCCTAAATTATGCAGTCTTTTCCACAGACTTGATATTAAAGTGTCACAACTAATTTGCATAATTATAATTACATATTAATCAGTTCCCCAAACAAACTGACAATGAGGTAATATAATTCCATATTACTATGTTGTTGTTGTTATTGTGAATGAAGTTAATGAGTGCATTTTTCATATTTTTATTATGCATATCTGAAAAGTATTCATGTAAAAAGTGAAATAATAAATGCAAAGGAATTTCAATAGACAGTTTTTCAAGATGAAATAGTTCTAAATGTATATACTTTCCATGATCCATAAAATATGTTTATCCAGGAAGGTAACTGATTTATCATTATTTTGTCTACAAGAAGTTATAGCAGTCAAAGACAGGAGTCTTTTACTTATAAAACTAGCCTACATTCTGTCTATGAGTTTGTGAGTTTATCACAGTAAGATGAAAAATCAGAAATTGACAATGACACATTTGACATGTATTTATAATGTAATGGTAACTACACATTTGGCTGCCTTGTCTGTAATGGAATAAAACATGTCACACTTTACAGTAGTTCATTCAATGTATCATCTTTTCGAAATTATTTCTTTTGGAAACCAAGACTTATGTTTTGGGCTTCACTCGTGTGTGCATCAATTGTCTTTTTTCAGACATTCCTGGATTAATATTATTCATTAGTCCCTGTTCTGACGCCATTTTTGTGCAAAAAAAATCATCAAATATCAAGCATTTATGGCATTTATGAATAGATTTCGTTCAAACTTGGTACATACATTAGACATAACGAGTTCTGATGCAAAATAGCTGACTGGCGGCCATTTTGTTTTAATGATTGGGCTTCTAGAGCCATATCTCTGAGATGCTTTGACTGATTACGTTCAAATTTTTAATATTCATTATACATCATGTTATAGATATATACATGTATTCAAAATGGCTGATTTTGAATGCTGTTCCAGAGCAATATCTCTCAATATGGACAAAAAAAATCATCGAAATCATATTCCTGACATGGTTATATTCCTGCTATATTACTATTAACAAAAATATATATCTTAAATTCGATCACTAACAGGGACTGTGCCATGCATGGCTTGTTTAAATTTGATATTACCAGAGTTTCAATCTTGGAATTCTAATGAAGGTCCAAAATTGATTTATTACGGTTTTGTTAAATTGGGACTATTTGCTGCTACATTGTTTTTGTTTAAGCATCTTCCTGTGTACTTTTTCTGTTGTCTTGAGTGTTACTTGGATGTCACAGCCTTATTTGTTGGCAGATCTGTAAACTGCTGTGTGGGAACTTCTTGCTAATATAAACCTACCAATGCTACCTTATATGTTGGCAAAATATTATGTTTTTATCTGAAAAATACTTTTGAAAAACCAGTTACTTTTTACTTTGACAAATTGAATTTTTATGGTAATGTGAACTAAGAAAGATTTTATATAATGTGCCTTAGAGGGCGCTGTTACTTTATGCTATAAAGAATGCTGGTATGAGAAAGATTTTCAGAATTGAACTTTATTCTCAAATAAAAAAACATAAATTAATATAAGAAAGGTCCTAAAAAAAATAATTTCTATGATAAGGCCCTCAAATGATTTAGCTTAACGATCTTTTTTAGCTTAATTAATGTACTGAAAGTGTTGGCCTTTTTAAAATTAGAAACATTAGAGAACCTCTAAGAATAAGTTCAGTGAGCTCTATTTCAAAATATAATGTTGTAAATTATTTGTGTGATAAATTTAACACATTTCTGATAACTTAAATTGCGTAAGGATCACCTACCTATATCACTGATCTAATTTGATTTCCAAGTGTTTGAAAATTCACCGTAAATAGAGTATTTAAGTGGTAAATTGAATTCAGTGAGGTTTTGTATTCCTCTTTTACTGATGAGGCATTTAATTACAAGTGTTATGGATAATGGTTTTCCTAAGTGATGGTGGTATGACTAGTACATGAATAACAGTTGCACACTTTTATGCACCGCTGGCTAAAAATTAATCACCACTGACAGACTCAGTGCTTGAAATACTGGGCTTTTATACATTGTTTTCCCCTGTGTGTCTGATTATTTTACGACCTAGAAAAACAAATATTTTTACATTAAATTTTCTTTTTTTACTATTATGTGATGTTGTATAATATCAATATTTGTTTTATTTCTGGGCATCTAATAACCACTTGCCAATGGCAAATTATTGTTAGATTCTGTCACTTTGACCACTCTTTACTTAGCTATGACTAAGTTTCGACTAATTTTTAAACGTGGGCATCAAAAACAAGTGACCAACCACAGAAAGGTAAATTGAACACAAGGAAAACATATTGTTGTATGGTCAGCATGTGTTAAGTATCGGTAGTATGTGTACAGGATTCGCAAGATATCAGCATGCTTAGCCGATAGCCAAACATCACTGAGCAGTACTGTTCTATAGCTTCAGTTGTGAGTCACAGAATCGCTTGCGGAATTCACTATTTATTGATCAAAATTTAATTTTATTACAAATTCAGTATTCAATGTAAAGCATTTTCCGCTAAGACTTGTCTAAGATGCACGCCAGACTCTTGTTTCCTGTATAGCCATTAGGTCAATCCAATTTGAATTGATAGGATGACTATTTTACTTATTTTGTTATCACAGCTTTTGAGTAAGGCTTAATTATTTACTGGGTTATTTCACTGGCAGATGTGCTAACTTAAAACCCTGTGAATATTTCATCAGTGTTAAATACTGTAAAAGGATTAATTATTCACTGAGTCTTAATTTTGCTTATTTCACTGACTGGAAAATGCGCTAAATTAAAACCCAGTGAATATGGAAAATTTAGCATAAAACACATTATCTAAATGATAAAACCGTGAATTTAACACCCAATGAATATGCCTGAAATGCTAAATCAATAAATTTTACAGTACTTCATAGGTCATTTGTGTTTAGCACAATTCTAAAGCAGAATTCAAACAGCAATTATACAGAATGGAATTTATTGTTACAGTAGTGAAGACAGTTAAGTACTTTTAAACGAAATGATGCATCAGGTTTTGGGTACAGCTGTTTGACCTTTAGTAAGTTACATTGTGTTCAAATTTTACATTGATGAGACTAAAATGAAACAATAATTGCATATGTTTTTATCTCTTATTTGTAGTTTTGATGGAGATGGAAGTTTACCATCAATTCACTCACCTGCTGGTACAAAACTACGAGACCTTGTGAAATCTGTTACACAGCAAGCAAAGAAACTACGTAAAAATGAAATACACCCAGCACCAGCCATTACACCAGCATCTGAACCATCTACACTGGCACCTCCAACACGTGAGTATGATGTTTATGTTTAAATGTTATTTGGTTGTGTGTAGGCGCAACATTTTATTGAGTGATGTGAAGATATTGATGATATAAATTCACAAAGCGATTAATTTGTCGCTGGAAACTTTGAAAAGTGTAGTCTACTGAAGTGAGAATTCATACATGTACAGAGTAATAATTCAAGAAGCCTGGTACCATACAAAACAAGCATTTTGTTATGTCAAGCATAACGTAATGTAATAGGGTTATCTACGGGCTTGCCTGCTCGCGATTAAAACCTCTATGTACATGACTCTCAATGACATGGTGGAGCAGTGGGATTATGGAGTGCATCTCAAACACAATGTACCACATTATCCGATTCACACTGTTTTTCTGAAGCCACGTCCATGGCCGTTTCTACGTACCTGTGCGTTATCATGTAAGGAAAAGTTGTAATTTACCTCAGTTAAATTCAGTGATTTGATTGGTTGTGCCAAGGAGCTGAATCCATCAATCAACATCCTTGTAACGAACACTTGCATCAATTTCAAATTTGAAGCAATAGATGTTGTTGGCTCATATCTCGTCATAGCTCTACTGACATTAATATATTACCGTTTTGTGATTTGCCATGGAAACATGTCACAACACTTGACTTTGTTATTCATTTACAATGTAAATGCACCAGAGCATGCGCCACCGTGTTTGATTTCATCAACTCTGTTTTGAATTCTACCAAGATATAATGGTGAAGGGACAGCCAATTAAAATAAACGTTGACTGGCAAAGATGAACCATAACAATTCTAATAAAGGCATCACTTTCAGAGAATTTCAATCTATCCTGCCACCTGAATTACAGTACAATTTGAGTGTTTCATAGTCAAAATTAAAGTAAATAAACATTGCATTAAAATGAGTATGAGTAAAACAGTTCAGTACACCTACCGGATTCGGCTGATACCCCGCCCATCCTAAACCCCGCCCATGGGCGATGTTTCAAATAGTGGGCGATGTTTTGGTCTACATGCACTGCCTGACTGAACAACAAACATTTTTACAGACCCCAATTTTCCCGTCCAACATCTTGCATCGAGCATGCTATTTCAAATATGACGCTAAAAATAATTCACTGTGAAGTCGAAAAGCATAAAACTCCAATAAATCCAATTCTGAATACGAATTGTTGCGTATTATGACTCGTTAATACATTTCACTTACGTTTATTACACTCGAATAAAGTCTACACTTGAAAAGAATGCTGTTTACGAAGTTTAAAATAGTCAAGCCTTCCTGATTCGAGCATCTTGGTTGATTTAACAATGGTAGGTATCAGTAATGTTTAATCTTTTTCTGTATCACATTCCAGACAAAAAGTTTAAGATCGGTAAACAAGAAATGGATGAACTAAAATGTCTCCTGCGTTTTACATGCAACATGATTATTAAAAAACACAGAGTTAAGCAGTCATGTACGTTCTATAAAAAAAACGTTCCCTTTCAGATAACCCCCAGTTATACCCTTTGCGTTCATGGTATTTGTGAGAGTTGAAAGATTTTTCGAGCAAATGACAAGTAACTATACTGATTTGCGTCAAGCTGGGTGGCTCGAATTTAAATATCAGTGTGTGAACTCTGGAGGTCATTGCCCAATACCGCCCGAAAATTCAAACACGTAGTTATTAGAGTTCAGTCGAAATGTACGTGAATAATACGATCGAAGTGCGCTGCCCAGAGTTTATTATATTATAGTAAAATTTAACTTGACGCATGGTATGGTTTATATTACATGTTCACTTCATTTCCAAATAAAATAATTAACCATTGGAAGTGGAACATAGATGAATCACAAGTATTTAAAATATTTTCTCGACTTTCTGTAGACACCTGACTACTATCTTTTTCAATGATTTAAATGTGCCCATGCATGTTTATGTTTGCGTAATTATTACGAATGCAATGCATTATCAAGTCGGTAATATTGAAATATTCACAGACCCAGTACCCCGGGTCAGTGCCCTCCCAATAGTAAAAAATAACTTGAGTTTACTTAATTATCATGAGAACAATACATTACAAAGTAAAAATATTCAGAGCCTGTACAATATGGTAAACAAATTAGAAAAGCAGAGCACTAAGTAAACAACGTTGATATATTCAAAGCCAGTACAGAGTTGCATACAAGTTGCACAATTACAGTACCTTGGGATATAATAACAATTTTACTAGATCGACGTGCGGAGCACGAAAGAAAAGGTTTGCTAAGGTAACGCGCCAGTTCAGTGCATGACTTGGGGGTCAAACTTCGGTCAACACACACTTGATGTCAGCAGCAAGTTTCGCAAAGAAGTACTTGAAGTTCAATTGCGTCCCAAAATGACGTCACTGATCACTCAGTTGTCACAGCGTGTGTTGTGTCATGTCCATGATGCACCCCGTTTTGACTTTGGCTTGCTTTTCCTTCTTAGTGCATGTTCTTGTTCACGTAAAATGCAGTCTCTCACTAATGTATTAAAACACTTTGAATGTATACTTTGCATGATTATATTTGGTCAACGCGAAATATTATTTTTTCTAAACTTTTTCTGAGACCATTTTTATCAACGCAGGGTTATTTTTCCAGTCAAGATGGGCTTCGTAATATCTGCCATAACATCGCCCGGGCAATCTTTTGGTCCACATTTAATTTCTTAATAATCGAATCCTCCATAAGATCGCCCAGGGCGGGGTATCAGCTGAATCCGGTATTTTAGAAGTCAAGGCCTTTCACTCTTGTCTGACATCTAAATTCACTATGTTCAATTACCCACCATAGACTCCGGTCAGTCAAAATGACTATTTTGAACTGTAGGCATTAATCAGCGATTCTGCCGGTGACGGAGAGATAGAATCCAGGTCAGGGGAAGAAGCCCCATGACCTCAAGATTCTTTTACCCCTTACGTCACGAACCCACGTGACCGAGGCTACCTGGCAGCGCCACAGGTAGCCATCCTTCACTCTTAATTTCTCTCCGCCTCGAGTGGAGATGAAATCTAGCGAGCTCTGCTGGATCGCCTGCTTTTTTTCCTGTCCGGATTTATAGCTTGGGTTGTTGCCGCTGCTCGGCATCCGACATGGTAGCTGGTAGGATAAGTTTTCCTTGTCTTTTTTTACCCTCATGTCGTTTTCCCCTTTGTGTGTAGTATTTTTCTCAGCAAAGAAATCAAAATCCGGCGCCACTACGTAGTCACATGTTGATTTCATGGCGGCACCTTTTACAACTGTGATTCGTCTCCCTCATGCATGTCGTCTTTATTTTT